GCACACACACACACACACACACACACACACCTGAGTTCCCATGCCGATGCGAGCTATGGCGGTCATACACACACGCACAAACACACACACAAACACACACACACACACACACCTGTGTTTCCATGACAATGCGAGCTATGGCAGTCTGTACCACATTGGTCCTGTCTAGACAGTCCACGCAGTTCACACGGAACACGCCTTTCTGTTCACAGATGACGCCTCGGTTGTCCACCCTGGGGGCACACACAGGGTGGTTTTAATTAGTTTTAGTAAGGTTTTACGGCGCTCGCAACTACATAAGGTCATATGAACGCCAAGGGGTGGCTGTCAACAGAGAAGTCCTTACAGTTACAGGGAATCAGACTTACTCTGCTCACCTCTCTACCTTCAACAGCACAAAGTCTGCTTCGACTATCAAGGCACCTCGGAAATAGCGGGTCACAAGAGGGTGACAAACATACAAAAGAAGTAGAGGGAAAATGACGATAGTAAGGATCAGGAAAGAAAAAGCAGCAGTTCCCTGTTGCAATTCAGGCACAGTTATGAGCATGACATTGATGAATCAGCCCATTTACAATTACAATTCTACTGTGCATAAGAACTCGAGATGTTAATGCCCCCCCCCCCCTTGGGAATGGCCTTAAGACACTTCAGTCAGTAGCACCACCCCGGGGGGCACACAGAGGGTTGAGGTTACAGGTATGAGTTAGATTTATTTACTGATGTCTCCGATACTGTCTTTTTGATGTTACAGGTATGAGTTGGACACAGGGCTCGGGTAAGGGTTGGAGCTTGAACACAGAGTAACTTCCCAGAAGCATGCAAAGAGGGGTTTGAACCCATATCTTACAACTTTATTTTTTTCCCTTTGGTCAACGTCATTCAGTAAAATCCATGCAGGAATGCTTTTTTAAGTGGATATAAAAGTTGTTGAGCCCAAAACAAAACAAAAAATAAATCGATAAAAATTGCAAAACAGACGAGATTCATTTTGAAGAGCGATTAATTTCACCTCGATGCCATACAACTAAGCGTTGTTAGCCATTCAGAATAATTGCAAGCCTTAATGAGGATAGGTCCCTTAAATAACCTATCTGTTGATAGGGGCGTTAAACCCATACCATTTCATCACTTTCAAGGATAGGTCCCATCGGACAAGTCGCACGTCTATTATAACCTCACAATGTTTACAAGGGTTTTAAAACCCTGTCATACGACAATTCCTCAATTAAACAACTCCCATTTTTACTTGTACTCACCAGCAATAGCGCATGTCTTTGATGATGTCTTTGATCCCGTCAGTGAGAATGGACACGTTCTCAAACTTCATACCTCGACTATAGGATCCCAAACCGGACATGGACGCACGGGGAAGAAAAAGAAGAGATAAAAAAGGTTAAAAGGTACTTTATTTATATACTAGGGGGAAAGTTGTTGTACATTTGCATCTACAAACAACATGATACTTTAGACACTACCACAAATTCTCTTTACATATCTGTACCCCCCTTCTCTCCCCCTCTATCTCTCTCTCTCTCCAACAACATTGAC